CTGGTGATAAACACATAGATGACTACACACCTATAGTGTTACTTAATGCCATCCCTGACTCTTACAATGACGTCAAATCTGCCATAAAGTATGGTAGAGATGATATCTCGTTGGATGTAGTCGTTAATGGATTAAGGAGTAAGGAGTTGACCTTAGACACTCGAGGGGTAGTAACAGTCAGTCTAGGGACTCAGGTGAAGCGTTGTTTGTGAGGGGTAGGTCTAAGAGTAGATCTAGAAACCATAAGAAGGGCAACAACGATAAGAACAAAAACAATGACCCGGGGAAGAAGAGAGGTAAGTCTAAGAAGAGAGTGTGCTATAATTGTGGTAATTCTAGTCACTTAATTAAGGATTGTCCCCATCCGAAGAAGTCTGAACATGCTAATGTAGTAGATGATAATAATTTGCATGAAGAAGTTTTTATGATTTGTGATTCTGCCAATTCTGTGTTGAGTAGCATGACTGAAAATGAGTGGTTGATTGACTCTGGTTGTACTTATCATATGACACCTTTTAGATCCCTGTTTTCTTCTTATGATTCTTGCAATGATGGTTTTGTGTCTCTTGCTGATAATAAGAAATGCAAAATTCATGGGGTGGGTGATGTATGTTTGAAGTTTGATAACGGGACTGTGTTTACTATGAAAAATGTGAGGCATGTTCCTGATTTGCGTCATAACTTGTTTTCTGTTGCTACTTTTGAGGGTAGTGGGCTAGAGGGTAAATGGGGTAATGGGTGCATGAAAGTTTTGAAAAATTCCCTTGTTTTGTTTAAGGCAAAAAAAGGTGAAGAACTTGTATGTGTGCCATGCTCAGTCTTTCTGTGATTCTGCTCATGTTGTTAGTTCTGATAAATCTGCTTTGTGGCATAATAGATTAGGACACATGAGTAATAGGGGTTTAGAGATTTTGCATAAATCTGGTTGTTTTGGTAAGGATTCTGTGTCCCCCATCCCCTTCTGTGAATCTTGTGTGTTAGGCAAGCAGCATAAGGTTACATTCCCCTCCTCCCCATATCCTAATCCCACTAAGTGTACCTCTGTGTTAGAGTATGTTCATGCTGATGTGTGGGGTCCTGCTAGTGTCTCTACCCACGGGGGTAAGAGATATTTTCTGTCCATCATTGATGATTTTTCTAGGAAGGTGTGGGTCCGTCTCCTTGAGCATAAGTCCGATGTCTTTGTGAAGTTTAGGGAGTGGAAAAACCTTGTAGAAAATCAAACTAGTAAGAAGGTCAAAACCCTTATGACAGATAATGGTCTAGAGTTTTGCAATAAGGATATGGACCAACTGTGTGTTGATTGTGGGATTAGAAGGCACAAAACTGTGCCCTATACTCCCCAACAAAATGGGATAGCCGAGAGGATGAATAGGACTGTTCTAGATAAGGTTAGGAGTATGCTTGCCACCGCCGGTTTGTCTAAAAAGTTTTGGGGTGAAGCAGTTAACACTGCTGTCTACTTGATTAATCGGTCTCCTTCTGTTCCTTTGGGTGGGAAGTGCCCTGAATCTGTTTTTTCAAACAAACCCCTTGATTTGTCTAATCTTAGAGTGTTTGGGTGTGCAGCGTATGTGCACCAACAAGGTGACAAGTTGGATCCTAGGTGTAAGAAAGGAGTCTTCCTAGGTTATCCCGAGTGTGTGAAGGGGTACAGTGTTTGGGATAGGAACCAGGTAGGTTTCAAAGTTGTGGTGAGTAGAAACGTTGTTTTCAATGAATCCGAGTTTCCTTGTCTGGTTAAGTCAGTTCCTGATTCTGAGTCTGATCCTAGTAGTACACCCGTTGAGGTGGAGTCCATACCACGTGCTGCTAGCCCTTTGTTTGCTAATCATGATAATGTTGTTTTGCATGATTCTGATTCTTCTGAGCATGATAGCACCACCACTTCGAGTGAGGTGGAGCATTCTCATGTGCATTCAAATGACAATGAATCGCATGATGAGAGTGCGGATTCTAGTGAGAATGATTTGCATGATTATCAACTTGCTAGAGATAGAAGTAGGAGAATAATTAGGAGAACTGATGATAGTATGCCTGATTATGATTTCCATATGTGTGATACTTCTATGTTTGCTTTCTCTGTGTTTGAGACCCTTGAGCTTAACGAACCTAGAACCTATAGAGAGGCCCTTAAGTCTAATGAGTCCGCTAAATGGCTTTGCGCCATGGAAAGTGAGATGGAGTCACTTAGAGCGAATAAGACTTGGACGTTAGTTCCTAGACCGCCCAATAGTTCCGTTGTTGTCTGTATGTGGCTATTTAAGGTTAAGGAAGAGCCTAACGACATTAGATATAAGGCTAGGTTAGTAGCTAAGGGATTTACTCAAAAGGAAGGTGTTGATTATGCTGAAATCTTTGCTCTTGTAGTTAAATTTACTACGATTAGAATGATGCTTGCTCTTGTTGCTCATAATGATTGGGAAATGAAGCAAATGGACGTCACCACTGCATTCTTGCATGGTGATTTAGATAAGAAAATCTATATGTCGCAGCCTGAGGGCTTTGTGGATCCCATGAAGAGTGATCATCTGTGTTTGCTTAGGAAGGCTTTGTACGGCCTGAAGCAGTCCCCGAGGTAGTGGAATATCAAATTTGACCAGTGCATGTCATCTTTGAAATTTCACAAGTCCGAATGCGACCATTGCCTATACTTTAAAAATACTTCCTCTGTGCCTGTATTTTTATTGCTATATGTGGATGATATGCTTATTGTGAGTCCTTCGGGTGACGCCATTAAATGTGTGCAAAAGCGTCTCAGTGAGAACTTTGCTATGAAAGACCTAGGTGATGCCAAAAGGATCTTAGGCATTAACATTGTTAGGGATAGGAGTAAGCGTGTGTTAGTTCTCAATCAGATTTCATACATTGAAAAGATTTTGAGTAAATATAACATGCATTCTGCTACTCCCGTTTCTATCCCGATGGCGTCTCACTTTGTATTAAGTAAGGATCAGTCTCCTAAGGCTGCTCCTGAAATTGCTAAAATGAAATATGTGCCTTATTCCAATGCTATTGGGTCCGTGATGTATCTCATGGTGAGTACTGGACCCGACATTGCCTATGCTGTTAGTTGCTTGAGTAGGTATATGTCTAATCCTGGTTTAGATCATTGGAATGCTCTTAAGTGGTTGCTTAGGTATTTGAAATCTTCTGTTAATCATGGGTTGGTTTTCACTAAGTGTTCTGAGGGGGTTAAGTTGAGTGGGTATGTGGATTCGAATTTTGCTAATGATAGAGACAATAGGAAATCCACTACCTCTTATGTGTTTACTCTTTGTGGGTCGTGCATTAGTTGGAAATCTCAACTTCAACCCATAGTTGCCCTATCCACCACTGAGTCTGAGTATGTGGCCGCTACCGAAGCGTTTAAGGAAGCCATTTGGCTTAAACGTCTCCTAACGGAGATTGGTAGTCTTAAGCAAGATATTTGTGTATTTTCTGATAGTCAATCTGCTATTCAATTGTGTAAAAACCCTGTTTTTCATGATAGAACTAAGCACATTGATGTTAGATTTCATTTTATACGTGATATTGTTAGTGCAGGTCATATCAAGTTGATTAAAATTCCGTCGGAATTTAATCCTGCTGACATGGGGACTAAATGTCTCTCTGTCGAAAAGTTGTTGTCGTGCAAACGCACGTTAAACATTGATTGCGGATAAGTTGCCTAGTGATCTTACCCCTTTTGCCTGAATATGTCTTTGTGATTATTCGGGCAATCCAGCGATGATGAGTCTCAAATTGTTTTAGAGTTTTATAACTCCATACCACTAGGGTCCAATAAGGTGGAGAATGTGTTAGGTATTGGCCCTGTTTTCCCTTAAGCCCAACTGCATTGGTTATACCCGACTCGTACTTTAAACCGTCCATCTGCACTTCATATCACTCGATCGGCTATCTTCTTCTGGCTCGATTACTTTCCTTCTCTGCATTGTGCGAGTCTCGCATCTTCTCCTTTATGGTAAGTTACCATCCTGGCAGATTGCTTGGCCTATATATCCTTGTCTTTCTCTTCTGCCGATAGCTGGGTTGGTCGAAATCCCTAATCCCCTTTTTTCTCCTCTGTGGACGAATTGACAGTGAATTGGCCGGGACAAAGAGTGTTGGCTGACGCCCCTTCTCCCTTTAGTTATTGTAGTGGTGTTCTTCATCCTTTGTGGGTGAAATTTTGGACGAGACCTGAGCTGGATTAAGTTCTTACAGTTGCTACCATTGTCGTTGATTCGTAGAGATTCAATGAGAGAAGACGTGGTTCGTGTTTCCTCTGCTTCTGTGTTAAAAACAATTACATTTAATGCTCATGGATATTATTATTATTTATAAAAGATTATTTGGGGGCTTGCATGCCTATATTGCCAAATGTGGCACAAACACTTGAGATAACTGTTTCTGCTGCTTAAATGAATATTTTACATTATGTTTATTTATGGATGTACTACGTGTGAATGATATTCCAAACGTCTCGTATAGTATGAATGTGTTGGACTGCGGTTGACTATTCGTACTGTACGCCAGGTTGTTGATGTACCCGGGTAGGTCTGGGACGTGACATGAATAGAAAGGCAACCCAGGGATCGAGTACCTTTGTACTCGATCGGATCCAGAACAAAAAAAAATCGACAATTTAGACATACCCGATCGGGTAAACGGACACACCCAGTCGGGTATACGTTTGGAAGCGGATTCGGGAACTACGGCGTAAAAAGCCTGATCGAGTACACCACATACTAGACCGGGTATAAAATCTAGGTATGCATTTGAAAAGGGGCAATTACCTGATCGGGTACATTGCCCTACCCGGTCAGGTATGCGGAAAATATATTTTTTTCTAAAAGCTACGACGCAAATCGCCCGATCGAGTATACACCCAACTCGATCGGGTATGCCTTCGAATAAAGAGCAAAAGGACACTTACCCGATCGCGTATGTTGGGGTACCCGATCAGGTACACCGCGGAATTAATACCCAAACAACACCCAAACCCATCATTTCATCTTCTCCACACCAAAATTTCGAACACCCTCTCCCAAACTGTATCCTCCATTCCCAAACTTTCTTTCTTCAATTTCTCCCTCATTACTCACCCAAATCCATCCAAACTACCACCAAAACACTCTCCTCACTCTCCTCTACAATCCAATACCCAAAAATCCTCATCTCTTCCCCTTTTTCCCAAAAAATCGAAACCCTATCCCATCACCCAAAAACTTCGAATTTCAAGTTCAAACAAGGGGTTTCATGGCTCCAAAACGAGATAGGACGGAAAGCTCAACTGCCAGGGGACCAATTCAAGGCTATGAGAATGTTCGTTTCAGACCGGGGAAGCATAGGGGGTAATATATTTTAGTGGCTCAAGCTCCGGTGGCGGGGGCTATGACGGCAGGATGGGAGGTGATACTAATATGGGAAAGGGAAGCGGTGACAGAGGCACCAGCGGAGGATTTATAGGTGGCTACTATGGCGGCAAAGGCGAGCACTAGGGGCAGTGCCTTGGACTAGGAAAGGGGAGACTCCTCATTGGTATGTAAATTTTCCTTTTCTACCTTGTACTAAGCATGATTTTCTTTTACTCTTTGTACACACACAAAAAAAAAAAAAGAAATGCTAGTTAGGTTGAAAATCCAAAAAATGGGCAATTTAAGCAAAAATGACTTATAAAAAAATGAGTGAGTGGAAAGGATAGAAAAATAAAAAGAGATGATAGGATGAAAACCTGAAAAGGTGCCTATGCAAAATGAGATATCTAAGAGGAATATTTGTTTTTGCGGGACATCATTTAATCCTTTGGAAGAGCAGGAGGAGGGGGGAAGGGGAGAGGGAGGAGGAGGAGGAGGAGGAGGAGGAGGAGGAGGAAGAAGGATGTAACACCCCGGCCCCGCAGGACCCGAGGTAGTTACTCCACACACCATCCAGACCTCTAGTACTGTGCTCACAAACCGCCACTAACCTTTTCCGCACACTTTGTTCTCACTCGTGCGCGCCCTGAGAAACTTCCTTAAAAGGAGATGCATCTTGTTGGTATGAGTATACTATTAATTTGTTTATATTAAATCTCAAGTATTACAAAGGAGGAGGAGGAAGAAGATTAATAAAGTAAAAACTGTGCGGTAGAGGTTTGTGTAGATGAGAGTGAATTAATTGGAACCATAAATTCTTTACTTAAAAGGGAAAGTGACAAAGTTAATGGAACAACAAAAAAAAAAGTTGGCAAAGTTTTAAAGGACGGAGAGAGTAATAATAATAATAATAATAATAATAATAATAATAATAATAATAATAATAATAATAATAATAATAATAATAGTAGTAGTAGTAGTAGTAGTAGTAGTAGTAGTAATAATAATAATAATAATTATAATTATAATAATAATAATAACAATAATAACAATAATAATAACAATAATAATAACAGTAATAATAACAATAATAATAACAATATTAATAATAAAAATAATAATAACAATAATAATAATAACAATAATAATAATAATAACAATAATAATAATAACAATAATAATAACAATAATAACAATAATAACAACAATACTAATAATAATAATAATAATAATAATAATAATAATAATAATAATAATAATAATAATAATAATAATAATAATAATAATAATAATAATAATAATAATAATAATAATAATAATAATAATAATAATAATAATAATAATAATAATAATAATAATAATAATAATAATAATAATAATAATAATAATAATAATAATAATAATAATAATAATAATAATAATAATAATAATAATAATAATAATAATAATAATAATAATAATAATAATAATAATAATAATAATAATAATAATAATAATAATAATAATAATAATAATAATAATAATAATAATAATAATAATAATAATAATAATAATAATAACAATAATAACAATAATAACAATAATAACAATAATAATAACAACAACAACAACAACAATAATAATAATAATAATAATTACTATTATTATTATTATAAATATTGTGTTTTGCCTACCGAGCCCAATATACACTTTATCAGTGTGTATTTACAGCCAAAATGAGTATTAATTTTAGGGTATCTTACTATTTTGATCGGTATCACTTATATAGTAGGTATGTTTTAGGGTATATATTGTTAATTGAAAATTACAACTAATAACTTTATGTATTATTTACCTTCAAAAAAAATAACTATATATATTATGGATATGTGTATGTATTAGTTTGTATTTTTTATTATTTGAAGTGTTACTACGTATAACTAATCACTTTATGTATTGGTGTGTATGTGTGTGAATAAGTGAAATTTTAAACGGATCTACGTCCTTAACGGGTCGGAATCATATGTATCATACCCGATCCGGTTCCGACTTCTGGGTAACCGAAATAAAATATAGACTCATACCGGCTAAAAACAACTAGTCCGGTCTAGACCCGACCATTGATAGGCCTATCTATGGACAGCAGCAACGCAATCTTCATGCGGTGGTCCCACTTCTAAAAATATTGATGAGCGGCGTGCTGACTTTCCCATCGAACCTACTGTATATTTGGACTCATCTAGCAGTCCAGGACAATATCACCCTCATCTTAACATCTCAGCACAGAAGAAAAATCTGGCGGGCCCCTCTACATGTCCTCCATACACAGCACCTTTTTGGCTTTTTCGGATAGTTGTAATACAAGTATGAAGAATGAAGAATGGTCCAATGGAAAAGTTGGCAACTAAGAGGCCCACAAAATAGCAAAAAAACACACAATAGTAATGGCAAGTTGGCAACTAGAAAAGTTGAGTAATCAAAACCAAAACAAATTTGTATAATTAAACTTACTCCAAATCATGGAGAAACCCAGACCACTATGTCGACCAAAGAAAGAAAAGCAGAAAACTGAGAGGAAGATAGATTTTACCAAGAAAATGAAGAAGAGTGGAAGAATGAACATGAGAGGAAGAACGAGGAAGAGTTTTTAAAAATAGGTTGTTACACAGCAATTAATTCAACGGAACATATAAAAATAAAAAATAAAAAATCAAATCCAAGGGTTGTCATTTATTCTTACTTCTCTCCTAAGATGATATTATCACGTGAACCTAAATCAAGGAAGGTTCCTGTGAGAAAGGAAGCTTAGGAAAGAAATAAGAATGAAATCTAACCCTCATTTGAATATGTGAAAAATCACGTTAGGGACATTATTAGAGTAATTTTGTGTGTGGAAGAAATAGGCTTAAATTGATAACACGTAATTCAGATTATGGGTAATCCGACAAAAAGATTCCTGACAACCCTCATCCCGCGAACCAGACTCAGAATTAATCACCTCCAAAGAAGCAATATAATTCGTTGATCCATTAATGGGCACAAATGAGCCAAAAACGGTTATCACAATCCTCTCATCACCCACATCCAAACCCAACGTTTTACAAGCAGGGACAATAAAAACGAAAGGAAGTACATAATAAAATAAAAAGTCACTAAAATAAAAAATAAAGCAGATATAATAACTCCTCTGTCCGAGCCTGCATAATCGCACTGTCACCCGAACATGCTGCCTGCAACCTGACTGTACCAGCTTCGGCGGGCTTAAAGAGCAAAGTCCGCCCCCTCCCCGTTTTTTGTCTTATCCAGAGCCATGTTAAGTTGTTCTCCCCATTCTTGTTTCCCTCCTCTGTCTCCCAAATCCTTCTTCTCTTCTGCTCCCCTGACATCTCTTCCTTTGTTCCCTCGCCCCCGCCTTTAGTAATGTTGTGCGCTGATTCTGATATAGACTCTTTCTCTCCTTCACATATCTTTTCCTCGGACTTATAATCCCATATGTACCCGCGCTCTCTGCTAGAGCTCGATGAACCCTGCAGGAGCCATTTGTTGCCTCCTGTAGGGCTAGGGTAGTCTTCACCCCACTTCCTGCAATCCTGCCCTAAGATGGACTCCAAATATTTTTTCTAACACTAGATCTTCTTCATGATTCAAGGGACAAAACTTATCTGAATGTTCAATTAATCCACATATGAAGCAGAAATTGGGCAATCTCTCATATTTGAGGTCTACCCAAAAACAGTTTCCATCTTTTTTCAGATTTGTTCCCTTTTTTCAAAGGTTTATCTACACACATGGAGACCCTGATCCTCATATAAGACTCCCATTTCTCACTCTTCTGCTTATCATCATATTTTAAAAAATTTCCAATAAAATTTCCAACCTGCCTTGCAGTTCCTAGATTAACTAGACAATAAGGAACATTGTGAATTTGAACCCAAAATTTAGCCTCATTTAAGACAATTTTATGCGGGATATATATCATCAGGTTTAACTTCTTTTAGCAACAACAAACTACGCTCAAATTGCCAAGGATGGTAAAAAGTCAATAGATATCTTTTTTCACCAACTTCTTTGATTGACATATCTTTCCCCGGCCTCCATAGCGATAACATCAATTCTTTAAGGGCTGGAAATTTGACTTTTCTGTCCATCAAAATCATTCCGAACACCAGAAAACCCAGCGTACTCTCCTCAATCGGACTTTCCTCGGCTTCGAATTCATCGAGGTCCAGGTCCTCTTCTTCTGCCCTGATTGCCATCTGTTTGTATTTGTCAACAAATGTCTCCATTCACCGTCCTGGTCCGTCGTCCGCGTATGCCGTTATTGTCGACCTGAAGCCTCCGCCGTTCGTCCCTTCGTAAATGCCTCCAACAAAGCTCTGCGGAAGAAGCTAATGCCGAAAACGATACCTCCAACCCTGAATAAATAATCCCACACCGCCCGAATAAACCAACCCCCCGCCCCTTGATAGAATCGATGTTGGATATACCGAAGACTAGGCGTTGCGAGAGGCAACCCTAGAGCCGGCTAGAGGGAGTAACTCATTTTTATCTTCGACATTAGAGTAAATTTAAACACCACTATATTATACGCATGTTATATACGGTTGTTTTAAACTTTCCATGCTATTCACACCAAGGAGTATTAAATTAAAGGTAGATTCTATGGTACCCTTAAGGTACCATTCGTTTGTTCACATGGACCAATCAAAATGATGCAGTAGAATTATTTAAATTTAAATTAAAAATGATATAATGAGTTGGACCAATCATATGAGTGGTTGGTACCGTACCCCATTTTTTAAATGGGGTACCGAAGTTGTCAGCTAAATAAAATTCAACAGTTATAAAACTTCGAAATGTTTAATTATTTTCATTAATAGCTTATGAATCATTTACAACACTCGCACATTTAATTTATTGATAATTCAGAAAGTGTTATTTAATATGCACTAATGAATGAGATAGGTGCAACGTAATTTGATAAAAAAAAAGAGCTAGTTGAATTTAAAAATTGTGCTATAGGCAGACGTGATTAGTGCAACAAAATTGTATGCACAACTAATTAAAGACTTAAAGTGTCATGCACTTTATAAGCATTTCACAATTTTAAGGTACCTAATATTAAAGTGCAATATAAGATCACATAAGTGCATCAGCTGACGTACACTTTACATCACAAACAAAAATAGTATGCACGTATGAAGC